GGAAGATCTCCCTCTGCACGAGGTAGCAAAGAGCCTCCCCTGCCCCAGCCTGGAGCCATCTGCGCTGCATGAACCATCCCGTCTGTGTTAGCCGTCCAGCATGCTACCACCCCACGCTCCGGTGGACCATCTCAATACAACATCCGCATGGTTTTGAATAAACCCTGCTGAGAAGCATGGCACTTTACTTATTTTTTTTTGTATCTAGTTGATTTTCGTTCTTTTGTGAATCCATTTTGTGCCTCGTCTTATAGTTGCCCTTCATTTTTTGGCTTCTCTGTTCCATCCCTTAGCGTTGATTCTCGTGTTTTCCATTGCTGTGGAGTCAAACGCACTGGTTTTTCACCTGTGAAGCCTTGAGTCCTCCCAGCCTGCGGGGCGCGCCATTTGTACAGTATCTCTGAACACTTGAGTGAGGCTCCTGGTGAGCTCCTGAAAGAGCTACTCTGAGAACCCCACTCCCAAGGACTTGACACCTTAAACTGACATGACTTTTGCGGCTGATCTGCCTTTGTCCTGCACGTGAATCTAAACTCTGGGTTTATTTAGTTCTTGGTTGCTGGTTTATTTTTCTCACTTCTTCTCCCAAGGAAATCTGCAAAGGTCACAGTTGGAAAGTACCATGTGTTATAAATGCAAGCCAAAAGAATCAGTGATAAAGATTCCTGGCAGTGGTCTCTTCTGAGCAGTGTTTGTACAATGAATGCTTGTTCCAACAGTGAACGCCCTTATACTAAATTACTTTATACTTTTAAGATTGTGGGTTTTTTTAGGCCTTGCTAGGTGCACTGAGATAAAGCTACCTATTTGCAGGCCCAACCTAGTGAAAGGTTTGGGAGAAACTGTTTTGCCTGCTTCCATTTGCATGAGGTAGAACTGGCAAAAAGGGAAACAAAAGCTTAATACAAGTGAATGTTTTAAAAACTGTTAATCACCAAAAGTGCTAATGTGTTATTAAGATCTTTCCCTGTTGAGCACATTAGTATTGAGTCATACAAGCCCTGGGTCATCAGAAAAAAGGTCCTCGTCTCCTTATGACATTTGTCTGTTTTCTCCGTGCAGTTCCTCTGAAGCAGACAGGGCCAAGTACAGCTCTGTTGCTAATCTGTCCCTCTTCTTCCTCAGCCTCCTGTGGCCAAGAAAGATCCCAGTGCTGTGAGTGTTGCACAGTCACTCAAAAAAACAGACTCCAAAACTGACATGTCACCCAATGGAGCCCCTGTCACCTCAGAGACTAAGACCATAGTTGTGGAAACATCGGAGCAGGTTCAGTATAACATTTCATACCAATGTCTACAACATCCCTGTTATTGTAGAGAATGCTGTTTATAAAGTGGTTGGACAAAACTAACAATAAAATAAAATGATTACTGAAAGGGTGCAGGAAAAAGTTTCTCCTGTGATCCTTCTGGAGAGCTCCTGTGCTACATGCAGCTGAAAAGAAAAACATCTTTCTTTATTAACTTTCTCTAGACCTCAGAAGATGCTAATTCTAAGCATTAGTATTTTATACTATTGAGCAACTTTGTGTCTGTACAAACATTCTGACATGAAATGGATTGTATTTTCTGTTTAATTAATGCAGTTTAGAAACCTGCTTTGTGAATTAGGTGGTCATTAAGAACTTCAATGTTATGATAAATATGGTTTTCTGTCGCAGAAGAGCTTCAATTATGTTGTTACCCTTGAGGAATTAAATTGACAGTAAAGTTATGATAGTCATAAAACAAAAGACAGACCAATTCATCTCCAGAAAGGACACATGAAGGCTTCTGCTCCCCACAATTGTCTGATTAGACTGTAAATTTGATCTTTTTTTACTCGAAATGAGGCCATTGAAGCACAGCAACTTGTGGAAAGGTTTCACTGTAGTTCTGCAGAACCATACAGTGACCCAGCAGCAGTGTTGCAGACCTGTCAGTTTCACAACAGCAGTGTTGATGTGGGGACAGTGACCCAGCAGCTGTGTTAAGAGCTATCAGTGACCCAGCAGCAGTGTTAAGAGCTATCAGTGACCCAGCAGCAGTGTTGCACAGCTGGATGTAGATGCGAGGGCAGTGACCCTGCTGTGTTGCACAGCTGTCAGTGACCCAGCAGCAGTGT